TTTAGTGCTGCATAATAGTCCATTGTGTGAATGTACCACAACTTCTCTATCCATTCAATTGTTAATGGGCACCTAGGCTATTTCCATTTCTTTGCTATTTTTAATAATATTGTGATAAATATGGGCGTATATATGCCTTTCTGTGTTACAGCTCTGATTTCTTTAGGTTATATTTCAGTAGTGGAATATAGCTCAGTCAAATGGTATTTCTATTTTCAACATTTTGAGGAAGCACCAAACTACCCTCAATAGTAGTTGGACCATTTTGCATTCCAACTAGCAGTGTATGAGAGTTCTGATCTTTTCTTTGCAGTTGTTAAGTACTGTTCAGGTCTGCTAGGACTCATAGCTGACCCTTCAGTGCATTTTCAGAGGCAGTAAATCACAGAGGAGAATGCCCGTCTTTCTCCCATAGAACAGCTGGTGGATTCAGACTGTAAATCTTTGAGTTGGTAGTGAAATTCCTTGCCACTAAACCACCAGAGAGCCCTATCCTTTCTTTGGCATCCTCAATGCAGTTACTCTGTTGAATTCAGAACTATGTTTTTATTTTGTCCATAGCAAAACTCTTCATTCTTCCTGCCTCCAAGCCAATTCCTTCTTGAATCACTGGCACCATAATCACTCAGTCATTTAAGCCAACAGCTGTGGAGTCATCTTTGACTCCTCTCTTTCATATTTCTTACTACACTCAAGTTCTTTTCACTCTATTTCCAAATTGTAATCCTAATTCCTTTATCTCTTTCCTCCTCTTCCATGGTTACCATTTGAGTCTTAGCACATATTCTTCTTCTTGCCTGGACTTGTGCAGTTTCCCTATTAATTGGTCCCACTGCTTTCACTATTTTCTCCATATAAAGCATTCTTTTTCACATGTTATCCAGAGTAATCCTCTGAAACATAATCCAGGTCAAGTCATCCTGCTACTTAAGACTCTCTAGTGGCTTCCAGTTCAGTAAAAATAAAATGCAAGTGCTTTACGTGCACCTGTAAGGTCCCCCAAACCCTGACCCTGATTTTCTCTCTAATCTCGACAGTACACTACTCCTCATCTTTTGCTGAGCATCTCTTTTGGCATTTTTTCTGTCTCTTGAGCCCTCTGAGAGTTCTTTCTCAATATTGAGTCTGTATTTGTAAACTCTGCCTGAACTGTTGTCCTTAACTAATTCAAATCCTGCACTGCTGACCCTTTGCTATGTCTTCACTCATGACTAGCTTCTCCATTATTCAGGTCTCAACTCGAAACATTACCTCTCAGAAAGTCTGTCCATGATCACCATTCTAAAATGTCCATTACTTTGTCCATGGTCATCCTGTATCTCATATTATTTCTTACATTGTGTTTATCACTATTCCAAATTATGTTGTGGGTTTATCTATTGTATAGTCCATCCACCTAATGAAGGTGAAGATCAAGTCTTTTGATTCCTGCTTGTTTACTTAAGCACTCAGATTAGTCACTGGCACAAAGAAGAAATTCAACAAGTAGTTGTTGAATTCATGCACTCCTAAATGGTACTCTTCTGCTGAGATAGTCTAATTATCAACCACAAAATTTCGAAATGATCTTCCTATAACATAATCACATCATGGCATGTACATGCTTCCTATCACAATTCTTCAAGCAATTCAAACCTCTCCACATTTCAACCCTATTTGTGCTGAGTGCATTATCTTGTACTTTACAACTTCCCATTTCTCCTTTTTCTCCTCAAGCTCCCTAACATGCTTCCACAACCTTACTTGATGGATTGTTTTACTGATCAAATTTGCTTGTTGCAAATTATTTATCATTGACAAGATTAAATATGCTGTTACTGTTATGAATAAGCATTCTGGTGCAAGATTCTTTAAATTTGAATCTGACTTCACCCTTCATGTTGTGCATGGTAGGTTGGGCTATTAACCGAAAAGTCAAAGCCCAAATATATCAGCCATTTGTTTGAAAGAAAGATGAGCAATCTCCCCCCATAAAGATAGACAACCTTAGACCCAATAGAAGGTCACTATGAGTCAGATTTAACTTGGTTATAGCAAGTTTGGATACCTCAATTTATGTGGCTGTAAAATGGGAATCATAATAAAACTTAATTGAAAAGCTGATCCTAAGAAATTAATCAATACATTCAATACTCTTTTCATGGTGTCTTCAGAGTAGTTGAATAAGCACTCAATAAAT